AATATACTTAAATATATTTTAAAACATATTTAGGAATCAAATATATTGAAAATCTGATTAAAATCATTGAAGGAGGTATTATCTCTGTGCTTAGTTTTACTTAATTATTGTAATGCATAGCCTTCACAGTTTCATGACTACTTGTATGTAATAATAATTAACTCTCTGGACACTTACGTTACTACTATACCAGTTGAAATAGGATAATTTTTAAAACTCTTGCAGGAGAACAGAATTACTTCTGCAATACTGTATTCTCTGGTTTCCATTTTGTTCCTCCTTATCCAGCTTATTCAAGTAAAGCAACTATTTTTTTTTTTACCTAATAACAGAAATGGAAATATGTGACTGTTTTTACTTTTTATTTTCAGAATGTTCGTTATGCAGTTGAATTAGCATTAATCACATTTTCCTTCCTCTCTGGTGTTCTCTACTGACTGAAAATCAGTATTCATTTAAAAAAATTAAATGTGGTTCTTCTGTGTTCCCACTAAGCAGGTGTCAGGATTTGCTCTTCAATTAGGTGGGATTATGGTCGTTAGCAGATCAGGTGCCTGTGCAGGTGATGCACTGTCTGGAGGATATGTAGGCTATTGATCCCCACTGATTTCACATGAGCTGAGAAACTTGTCAGCTCTACCTTAAAAGCAGGCAGAAAAGACAATAGGATTTTTGCAAGCTGTGGAACCCAATATATATCCTAGAAAAGCCTTGGTGACTTAAGGGTTTTTTAAATACCAGAAATTTTATTTTTTAATGAACATGCAGTAAAACTAGTATTTCCTGTGCATAGCTGATGGATTTCAGCCTGTGTGTAGGTTCACATAACTGTCATCACAGTCTCTGTGTTGAACAATTCCATTGGCTCAAAAACTGCTTACTGCATGAGTGTGTAGTTGCACCTTTCCTGGTCCCCTCCCCTGGCAGCCACTCTCCTTTCACTCTAAGATCTTAAGAAACAGTCATTAAGTGGGGTTTAAAGCATGGGTCACATGCATTTATCTAGCATGGTGCCTTCAGGGGTATACGTTGTTCCGTGTGTGTCCGTGTTCCTTCCTTCCTTGTTGCTGAGTGGAATGTAGTTGTACAGGTGTGCCACAGTTTATCTGTTCATTAATCAAACAACATTCAGTTGTTTCCAGTTTGGGGCTATTCTGCAGAGACTACTGTTATGTAAGCATTTATGAGTAGGGTTTTGTCTCTTGGATACAAATACACAGGGATAGGATTCTGGGTCACAGGATAAGCGTATATTTAATTTCATAAGAGACACCAAACTATTTTCTGAAATGGCTGTACCATTTTGTACCATGATCAGCAATAGAAGTGTGCTAGTTGTTCCGTGTACTTGACAGCATTCAGTATGATCACTCTCTTAAATTTTTGCCCTACTAATCGATTTTCAGTGGTATCTGATAGTGCTTCTAATATTTTCCAAATAGCTTACATCTTGTATGCTTTTTTGTCATACATTATAGTATATCCTTTTTTATTGATGGGTCTGTTCAAGTCTTTGGCTCCTTTTAAAAAATAATTTAATTTTGAAATGATTTTATAGAGTGGTCACAAAGGCACTTCAGAGAGTCCCACTATCCCTGACATAACTTTCCCATAATGTGACCATTTTACAAAACCAAAACCAATAAGAAACCAGCATCGCTGCTACTGCAGATTCACACTGAGATTGCTCCAGATTTCCTACTACTTTCCTAGTGCTCTAGGAACCCAGTCCAGGATTCCACACTGCGTTTGTCATGTCTGCTTACTGTGCCATAGTCTGTGACACTTCACAGCCTTTCCTTATTTTTCATCACCATGATAGTTTTGAGTACTAATCAGATATTTTGTAAAATGCCTCTCAGTTTGCATTTGTGATATTTTTCCTTGTGGCTGTACTGAGGTATTAGATTTTAGAGAGTAATACCAAAATGAAGTGTCCTTCTCTCCCATCTTTCCAGGGAATGCATGAGGGAGGGGATCATCACTTGGGTAAGGTAGTATTTCCTGCTTTCTCCACTGCAACATGAGTAGTTTTGTGTTTTACTATCCTTTAGAAGTGAGTTGCTGTTTGATTGTGTAATTTGGAAATAAATTGCTAATTTCAGTTCATCCTCAAAGGACTAGAAAAATTTTAAGTTTCATATTATGGATGGGGTATAGTCCTATGGGAGGACATATATATCTAAAATACATGTATGCACACGCACAAGTTTTACATATGTATTGTAATCTGTATGAATAGTCCCCTGTTTATGATGATTATGTTTTTTGGCTTTATGATGGTGTGCAAGCATAGCCATACATTTTTTCTGTCTTTCCACTTTTAGTATTTAACAAATAAAATTTAATTCATTATTTTTTAGTTTATGGATTGTGTTGTATTAGCACAATAATTCTTTGCGTAGTTTCAAGTCACAGAGCTTTTGTCCTGTTTTTGTAGAAGCTTTGTAGCTTTATTCTTTACAGTTAGGTTTATGATCCATTTTGAGTTAGTTTTTTGTATAAGGTGAGAGATTTAGATCATTTTGGATTTTTTCAGTTTTTCTTTTCTGCATGCATACAGATGCTCATTTGTTCCAACACTTCTGTGATAAGACTGTCTTCTGCTTGTTGTGTTGCCTTTGCCCCTGTGTCAGCCAGCAGCTAGCCGTGCTTACGGGGCTGTCTCTGGATGCTGTTCCATTCCATTGATTCGTGCGTTGGTCCTTTTACAGGTGCTGAGCACACTCTTGATAAGCAACTTAAAACCTTAAAATTAGCATAATTCCTTCAATTTTGTTTTTAAAAATAATTTTAGCAAAAAAAAATATGATACTACAGTACCCAGTGCTGATCATGGAGTGTCATGATGTGAAATCCAGCAATACTATTATTCTTCGTTCAGAATGATTTTAACCTGCTTTAGTTTGTTTAATCTAAACATAAATGAAGATATGGATAACTGCATGTATGTTTTAAGTGTATAGGATTGACAACAATGTTACTAAGTTTTTGTTGGACAGTTGAACAGAACTGTTTGCAGCCTCGCTATTTAAATTCCCATGTTACATGTTCCACTGTTGTACCTTGAACAACTATTTGTAAAACGACAATATGTAAACATCAACTAGCAATTTCTTACTGTTTATTTTTTTCTCTGAACGTAGGTATTATTTCTACCTATTTTCTTCTTTGTTTAGTCTTTAAATAAAATTTAAAAAAATAATTTTAGCTAGTCTACTTCTATTGTCTTTACATGTTAACTTTAAAGTAAGCTTGTTTGTAACTACAAAGAAATCCTGGAGTTTTATTAGAGTTGCATTACATCTGTAGATTAGTCTGGGTAGAATTAAAATCTTTTACCATGTCGAGTTTTCCAGTGTGTGAATACAGTAGGTCTATCCTCATGCTTCATCTTTTCTGACTTAATTCACCAGGATTTTATAGTAGTTTTAGATCCTGTATATGTTTTAGATTTATATTTAGGGCTTCTTTTCTGTTTTGTCTTTTTAAAACAGTCTCACTATACAGTTCAGGCTGGACTTGAACTCCCTCTGTAACTTACCAATCCTCCTGGCTTAGCCCCCTAAATGCTGGGATTACAGTGTACACCACCACACCTGACAAAGTATTTCGTTTTTATGGAGTTATTTTCAGTGGTATGATTTAAAAATTTTTGTGGTTCCAAATTGCCAGTATTTAGAAATGTGATTGATGTTGGCTTTGTTTTCAGCAACCTTACAAAACTTACTTTTTTTGTCCCAAGTGTGTGTGTGTATGTGTGTGTGTGTGTTGGCTCTTGTTTCCTGACCCGTGCTCTGGAAGGGACTGGCATCTGGCTGTCCCCCCAGTGGCCTGCACATGGTGCTGATTCTCAGGGAGGCCTTGCTTCTTGGTGACTTCTTGTTCTCTTCCCCTACAGTCCACGAGTGGTGCAGACGCTTTTCATTTGAAGAGGTTTTTTTTTGTTTTTTTTTTGTTTTTTTTTTTGCTTTTGTTTGTTGAAGCATTCTGTATTACTTTAATATTGTTTTCAGGTATTTTCCAGAATCTATTTTTCTTTGTGTTGGCATTTTTCTCATGCAAGTTGAGATTTTCCTGGTTCCTTGTATACCTAGGAAAAAATTGGGGTTATATCTTGGGTGTTTGACCTCATGTTATGAGACTTTGAATGTCATTTAAATTGAACATAGAATATTGTCATATTTATTTTAGTAGGCAGTCAGCCCATCTGTATTCATATTGCAAGTTCTATGGGTTTTGGCTACATCATCAGTTAAGTTTTCAGAGCTTTTGCTGTGCGGTTCGCCTCTGTCCTGTATGTGCACCATCCATCACCAGTCTGGAACTTGGGAGGCTGTCTGTCCCACAATTCAGTTCTCACAGCATGTGTGTGCCCATTCATGTGCCATGTGAGGATGAGTGCAGGAGTTAAAAAACAAGTTTGGGATGTCTGAGGTGTTGCTCTCCAAGCTGGTATCTCTGATCTCCCAGTCTTCTCTGATTTCCTGGGGCTCCCTTATTTCAGTTTCTGATCAGGAGGCTGGGGTTATTTGTCCCTTTATAAGATGCACACATGCTGCTATGCCCATCTCCTGGGTCAAATGACTGAAGGATAGAGAAAGAAAAGCAGTAGAGATTTGCTATGTCTTTTGGAGACCATAACTCCTCTGACCAAAGAGCAAAGTTCCCCTCCCTCAGAATTTTTGGGCCCAAAATGGTCCTCACTGCCACAGCTGGCTTCTATAGGTGGCTGAGCTGAGATGGAGAGGAAAGGTAGGGGAGATTTCTACCCTCTCGTGAGTGTAGAAGGGAACAAAATGGCACACACCATGATTTGGGTGGCGTTTCAGGTTCTGGGCTTCCTTCAGCCCACCTGCTACTTTCTTTTCAGAGTTCTGCGGTAGCTGTTGCAAGCTTCCTAGCTGCATTCACTAAAGAGACATTGAAGTGTGACTGCTCCATTTTATCTGCCACTGGGTATAGACTTTAAAAGCCTTTTAAAAATTTTGTTCCTCTAGGAATTTAACAAGAAACCGAAGTTTTGGTCCAAGTATATTTTGAGTTGAAGCCAGAAATGTACTGGGTCTTAGATTCTTCCATTTGATTAAGGTAAGACATGTAATAAATATCATCATACCCTTATATTTTCAGACTATATTTTAATGTGTGCTTTATTAATACATTTTTAATTTCTAACTGGAGAGTCTGACCTAAGAAAATATGTTAATGCTTCCTTTTGCTTCCTTTACTGTTTAAATAGCTGATGTTTTTGTAGAAACTACTGGATACAAAGGAAACATGATTTCCTGTTAAAAATCAAATCTGCTTGCCCGAACTGCCCCACTGCATGGCCAGCTATGTAGGTAGGTAAATAAACTATAGTTCCACAGTCATTATGTGATACGTTCCATAGCACCGTGGGGGTACAGGGTCATTAGCTTCCACAGTGCATCTGGCCCTTTAGAAGTTTGCTCCTTTTCTAGGAGTTTTTTCCTCAAGAGTCTCATCTACTGTATAATTAATAGTATGTGAAATGATAGCTGATTTTAGTTGTCATATAAAGCTAATTAGAAATTGAAATAAACCAGTGTATGTACCTGCATCAAGCTTGACATCCCAAATGAAAGATCTGTATTGTTTCTTAGAAGAGGTGTTAGGTTTCAGAAATAACTTTAAAAATAAAACTTAGTATTTAGTGAGCAGTTACATGCAATGTGTTCATTTCTAAGTAGTAGTCTCCACTTAGATTTTTAAAAACAAAAATATGTGATAAAAGGCTGTCATAGTCCTGTTTTTTTAAAAAAAAAATTCTCAGAATGTAGCTCAGTGTGAAGGCTCTGCGTTCAATTATCAGTGCAGTACTGCAAATTAAATAAATAATCCCTAATCTCAAAAATAAACAAGTAAATAAAAATAAAAATATTCTCTCAAATTATATTTCATTTTTCCTAGTAAATTTAAAATTCCTGATTATTCTTCATATCTAAGTAAAATAAGTAGTTTACAGTCTGTGAAGTTTTAAATGATAACATCCTAATATAAAAACTACATTTAGTGGATAAATTTGGAATTACATTTCTCTCTGAGATTTAAATTTAACCTTTTCTCTGTATCCTTGCATTTTACATTGACAGATTAAACCAACCTTGGATCAACAACATTTGCAAAAAAAATTGTACAAACTTAATTTTCTTGTGATTACTTGCCAATCAATACAGTACAATAACTTGACATTGCATATCACAAGTAATCTGGAGATGATTTAAAGTACATAGGATGAATGTGTGTTGGTTATAAGCAAACACTACCCTATTTATATAGGAGACAGCTTCTGCAGATTTCAGAGTGTATGAGCTAAAGGAAACAGCATATTTTAAAGTGTGCTGGACAGATTAGCACTTCCAACCTATATCAAAGTAATAGAATTTTTTTGCCAAACTAAGGTAGGAAGAGCACAAGAAAAACAAAGTAAGTGTCTATGAGCTTCATTTTGTAAAAAAAAAAAAGAGAAAGAAAAAATTGAGATGAAAATTAGGCTCTTTTGTCATGTCTGATCTGAAATATGTTTGGTTTCTTAATAGACATAAAGTATCTTTCTTTGTGTTCAAGTAAATTTAAAGCTTTATCTTTTTTTTTTTTTTAAAGCTTTTTGATGTTTAGTTTTTAAAGGAGGAAATCTAGAAATGTATCTGAAAGGGGAAACACTTTGCATTTTTATATAGTGTCTTGTATTTTATATTTCAATCACTGGATTTAGAATTTGAATGCTTATACATTTGAATTATGAAAGATGATAAAGTTAAATTGTAGGAGTGGGAATCGATATGCTAATGAGGCCACCTATCTTGTGTTTAGTTGTCGTCTAAACTAAGTTGAGTTTGGAGAGTATTTGATTTATAGACTGAGTTACAAGTAAAATAAGTTTATTATAAGTAAATAGAATTTCTTTTTAAATAATGACATTAAGAAGGTACTCTGAAAGTCATAGCTTAGACATTTTTAAAAAAACTTCCTTGATTGTGTTTCAGTACTTAAAAGAAGGAAAAATAAACCAGAAACATTCACACTGATTTTTTTTTGTTCACATAACCTTAGTTAAATTTTTATAGCTCATCAAAAATTTTTTTACTTTAAAAATCAGATACTGCCTTGTTGGCAGTTTGAAAGTTATCATTAAAATTAAATTTGTGTGTATTAAAGATGGGCAGAATTTTTCTCTAAATTGAATGTACAGCTTGTCTTTTAGAATATATGTGACCAATTTGAAAATAAGCCCCTAAGGTTATCCTCACAGGAGATGTTAGTTATCTTACTTTACCTGACCTATATGGCACTTCTGTAAAGAAACTTTAAATAATATTTTTTCAAATAATATATTCTTTTGTGGAATCATTTTCTATCCTAAAAATTTTTTGGAGAAATAAGTTTATTCACAAAATTTGCTATCAAGAAAGGAATACACAAATTTACTATCAAGAAAGGTTAGAGGCTGTGGTTTTATTTAATGTTTTTTTCTTAAAAGGTTTTGTTTTTAGTTAATTTTAGATGTACAACTAAGTTATAACACAGTGCAGAGTTTTTGTATGTTTTTTACTCTGCTTCCCTTTATAATATCTTGTATGACCATGACACAGTGATCAAAACTAAAGAATTGATACTCAGTTACAACAGACTTAGTTTTCTCACCCTCCCTCCATAGTCCTGTGTTACATTTAGTTACATTTTAGTTACCAGTGTTACATTTGATCCTTTTCTTGAGTCCTGTGTTATATTAGTTACATTTTAATTACCCTGTAGAGTCTGGTCCTTTTCCTTAGTCCAATGTTTCATTTAGTTACATTTTAGTTAATCTGGTCCTTTTCTGAGTCCTGTGATACATTTTAGTTAATCTGGTCCTTTTCTGAGTCCTGTGTTACACATTTAGTTACATTTTAGTTACCTACATTACATTTAGTCCTTTTCCTGAGTCCAGGTTTAGTTTTGCAATTACATTTGTTATTCACTTGCTTTCTTCCAACTTGTGACAGCTGGGTAGTCTTTCCTTATCTTTCATTACTTTCACACTTTGGTTACTTTGCAGAATGTCATTCAATTACGGTTTCTGTAATGTTTTCTCACAATTAGGTTAAGGTTAAAGATTTTAGAAAAGCTGGGGATTTAGCTCAGCAGCATAAGCAAATGCGCTGTCCTGAGTTCAATCCCCGGTACCACCACCACCACAACAACAACCAAAAACCCCGAACAAACAAACAAAAAAAGATTTTAGGAAAAAAGCGGTCATGTGCTGCCAGGATTTAATTGCTTATTTATAGCACAGTAAACTCATAAATATTCTCTGACTTAGAACCAATATTATTGTTGTCTGTCTTCTTCTGGCCACTGGAAACACATTTTAATTTGCTTCTGTGTCCTTTCAACATGTTTTAAAAAGCAGTTTCTGGCTCTGCAAGATGATCCAGGTACATTTCCCTGGTTAAGCCCTTGCAGGATCCATTTTTCCAGGGCACCCAGGTCTGTCCTCTTGAAGAGCAGCAGTGTGCTCTCGTTGCTTCCTAAGTGCTGCTGCTTTTCAGCCTGTCACTGGTAGACTAGGACATGTGCTTATATGACTAAGTCTGCATTGTGCATTTCTGTGTTTCTGCTGTCTGCTGGCTGTTGCTGCATTCAGTAATTTGTTCATAGTAATGCCTTTGGCTCCATTGTGGTGCCACAGAGGCTATTCTGCTTTCCACCTTGGTTTATCTTCAACTTGTTCCAGCCACAGGAAGGACACTGGCTTTCATTTTCTGTAGCATACTTACATATCTGTTGTACATTACCTATAGACCTGCTGGCACATAGTTTTGTGAGAATGCGTTTACCAAGTATAGTGCCTAGCTATGCTTCTTCTTATCTTTGTTTTTATATCATCCAGTCAAATGCTTTTTTTTTTTTACACTGGGGATCGAACTCATGACCTTACTATTACCAGGCAAGCGCTTGAGCCACTGAGCTAAAATCCCCGGCCCTAAATGCTCTTTCTCAAAGTCTGGTATTTTTCCTCCTATATCCTTCAGTCTGCTGTGTTATTTGTACTTTTGGGCCTCCTGGACATCCTGGTTATTCTTTTGCTTTTAATTTGTGTATGGTAAGATTTACTCTGTGCTGTAGAGTTCTATAGATTTTGAAAAAAACATAGTCATGCATCTACAACCACAGGGCCCTGACCCCAGAAGTCCCCTGTACTTCTGTGGTGCAGTCTGCCCTTGTCCTCCTCCTCCTCCCTGGCAGCCTCTGATATATTTACAGCTTCTTTGTTATATTTGTTAGCCTTTTTGAGAGTCCCATTAAATAGAACTGTGCAACATACTATTTAGATCTGACTTCTTTCATGTAGAAAACTTCACCTGTCTAAATCATTAGTTTAGACTTTTCTGTTGTCAAATTGTAATGTATTGTATATATACCGTAGTTTCTTAATTCATTTAGCTGTTGAGGAACACTCATCTGGGTTGTTGTAGTTTGGGTCAGTCCAAACTACAACTAAGGGTAAACATGTGTATGTGGGGATAGTTTTGTTTCACTTGGGTGAATAGCTAGGAGTGGGATTATGGACCTTATTAGAAATGTGTTTTTAGCTTGATAAGAAACTGCCAGATTATTTTTAGTGCATGATTCCCACCACTAGTTTGTGACAATTGTGGTCATTCTGCATTCTTCCTGGCAATTGTCAGGTTTGGCTTTTTAGCTATTCTAACGTATGTGACTCATTACATGTGTAGACGTCAAGTGGTACCTTGTGGTTTTAATTTGTGCTTTCCTAGTTACTAATGACTAACACCTTTTCATGTGTCATTGTAATGGTTTGTGTCTAGATGGCCCTTCAAAGCCTCATGCACTTTAGATGGAGCTTTTTCAGAAGTAGCTCAGTCTAGGGTTTGTCATTGATTCATGGTTTGGTGCTAGAATTAAGGGTGGGTGATTGCTGCATCAGTCCACTGATTGGATTGGCACTGTCCTAATGCCAGCAGTCTAGCTAAGGTAAAGGGGGCAGCCAAAAGGCTCCCCCTTTTGCATTTGTCGTGTTTGCTGTCTTCTGCCACTGTGAATGGTTGCCCCTCCGCCATGTACCAGCCTGTGTTGGAGCCAGCCAATTATGGACTGAAACTTCTACAAACTGTGAGCTAAATAAACCTTTTCCCCTTTAACTTTGGGTATTGAGAATCTTGTCTCAGCAGTAAGAAAAGTAACTAAGACAGTCAACCATATGTATTTATGAAGGGGAAGGTGCTTTTATTTCTCTTTATTTTCTGCTTTTATGATCAATCTGGTGTGAAGAATCTTTCCAGTATCTTTTTGATTGAATTAGCTATCACCTCTTGCT